TAATAATGGCAACACGTTAGTATATTAATAATGAAGATCATATAAACAGTATGAAAACGGTTGAATAGTAACTCTATTTACTTTAATAGAGTTTGAGAAGCCAGTGCAAAAAAAAGGCAACTTGTGAGTCACATCGAGTGAGCTGCTTGAGAACAGCCTGAATCTTATGCTCCAAGTGGATCTGGTCGGGTTTCTGATTGACGCGAAAATTTACCAGTAAACTTATTCACTTTTTTCTGGTCATCGCTTTTGGTTCGGGTTATATGCAAACCCAAGTCCGATCTGTACTTTCGATCGACCCAATCCGATCGAAGCACTATTTCTAAAATTCTTAGCTACCCATCAAAAAGATTGGTATTTTAAATCAGTTAAACTTTATTTCTTTTATCATTAACCGGTATAGATTAATTAGTTAATTCAAAAAAAAGCTTTTAGTGCTTTCCCATAAAATTTCTGTGCATATTTCGAAAAATCACGCAAATTAGGCAACAAAGTTGATTATTCGTTTTGCATAACCTGATGTTTCAAAATTCTGGTTGGAAGGTCAGAATTTTTAAATTTATGGTGAATTAATAGACTCATGTTCATATCTAAGGCCATAATTTTTCGATTTGCATAGCATAAAATCAGAATTGGGTCAGCGGTCAGGTTTTTCTACCAGTCCTATCGGATAATTCAGGACAATTGTAACTATCGTATGGGAGAGCTTCCATCAATTATGCCGAGTTTAACTCGATAGTTGACGTGAGAAAGGATGCGGGAACTTGAAAAATATGGAACTCGTATTTCATGGTTATTAGGCAGTTATTATAGCAAAGAATAATACACCGCAAAATCAAATCAAATTTTGAATTTGAAACAAATATTTGAAATTATTTGATCAAAATTTTAATTAATTTGATCAAATAATTTCAAATATTTGATTCAAATTCAAAATTTGATTTGATTTTGCGAAACACTAGCAAAGAATGTATTATTTATGTATTCTTTATTTAAGGATGTTTTCAGAGTGCATACATTTGATACATTAGATAGTGAACTTGATGATGAACTAAGGGTGAGAGCAACCCTTTATATATATTCCATTTCTTATGATGTCTACGCTAAGATTATAATATCTAAACTACAAATTCTGACTCATGCATACTTTCCTCATTATATCAAGTTTATGCAAGCGCGTATACGCTCAAACGTGACTAGGGGAAATTCACATGGTTAAGCCACTAAGAATACTGTAAACAAGTCCACTATTAATAAAGTATATATTCAATGCTATAATAAAATATTTTATTTATAATCCTCACAATATTATTTTTCGTTTACTATATATAAACGCACCTATGGTGGTTTAGCATCTATCATATAGTTTATAGATTTTTCTTAGTTTTGTATATAAAATTTTTAGCGCGAAATGTTTCACGTTTGATTAGTATTTGGATTAAGGTTTGGGAAGGGTTTTTGGGTGATGTAGAACATTTTTATTTAGAACACCTCGAACAGATTAATTAGCTACACCATAGGTGCGTCTTATTTTTTGTCTGTTTTTATGAATGAGAGTTTATTTGGCATAATAGGAAGAAAAATTTTCTCTATAAATCTTTGTTATATATTCTAATTTAGCTTAATCGCGTAAAGGAGATAAATTATGTACGTATGTACCATTTATAGAAATCCTATCTTCTGTATCGCTATCGGCTAAACTATTATCCCTGATTGAACAAAATAAATACAATACATCGAATAAAACATCAAATGAAGTCAAACAACATCGGGAATTTTTTTTTAGGGTATATATCGATTATAATCCCCTAGATTAAATCGATATACATTGTATAAACGTTAGTAATAAATAACGCTATATAGCAAAATTTCGGTAAATTTTATCAAACTTTGACATGGAGTTTCTCGATAACTATTGATTAAAATTGGTTGAAATTTTTACTGTAGATAGTATTGGTATTCAACTATAACATATAAAAATTCCAGCCAATACTAGTTCACAAGTAATCGTTTGTATACGATAGCTAATTTTTTTAAAAAATAACTATTGTATACAAGCGATTTCTTATAAACCATTGAGTATAATTGGCTGAAATTTTTATATGTTATAGTTGAATACCAATACTATCTATAGTAAAAATTTCAACCAATTTCAATCGATAGTTATTGAGAAAATCTATGTCAAAGTTTGATAAAATTTAACGAATTTTATAATCGTTAAAAATCGATAAGGATATATATTGTTATATAACTATAATCGATATATATCGTTAGTGATATATATTGATATATAGCCAATAATCGATATATATCGTATAAAAAAAATCGATTACAATCGCCTCTGCTGCTTGCAATCGATGCAAATCTTCAAAAAAATTTTCCTGATGAATTGAATGTGGCACACATATTGCAGTATTGAAGCAATAATAAGGTTAAATCAAGCATAGTTTGTTGCTATGTAGAATTTTGCAATAAAGTTTTTTATTAGGACAGGAAAGGTAATTTTGTAAGCAAAATTTTGTCACCGGAAGGCTTATTTTCCATTTCGGGATGTGACACAAAATATTCATCCCCGTAACACAAGCGAATCTAGTGCACGTACAGTACATACACTAATGTTTATTCTTTTCTTTATGTATATGTCCGACTTTTATTTTGAATTGATCTAGAATAAGGTTAACTCCGAAAGTATTAGGCGTACGGAAAATGTTTTCGGAAATTTAACTGAAAATGCCTAACTTTACATAAGCAAATAAAAAATCAAAAAGGTGACCGATAAAAAATTCTATATTTTGTAATATTTAGACCTACAATTTTCATATAAACTATAAGTTTTGCAGATTATGTAACAGATGTTGAATGATATCGATATAAATAAAAAAAATAGAATAACGATATAAAAAAAAATAACGGACCCGTCGCAAAAATATATAAATTCCATTCTAACAATGAAACTAATATGGAAATAAAATACAATGCACAGTAAAAGGATATTCAGGTATAAATAAGATTGTTTTTCCGATTTATTTCCTTTTGAGTGCCGGTTAGAACCGGATACATCAAGAAAACATCTAACCAATTAAATCATCAACTCCTATTCCAAGGTTAATCTATTAGCAAACCTTTTTAGATATTTTTGATAATAATAAACTCCAATAATGATGCAGGCCAAATCTTACAAACTATTAAAAAATAAAAAATAAAAACATGAAAAATAGTATTCAAAGTTTAATGTAACTTAATTACATAATCTTATATTAGAATCCTTTATCCCATATCAAAAATACATAGTATAATTTCATTTAAAATTTCCGTCATTTTGTTTGCCTTATTATATGAAATGTACTGTTAAATCCCAAGACCGATCCCGTGCAAACCGATAACCTGTTAAATTTGAAAAGAGATTAATCTATCAAGTCCACAGTTTCTGCTATCTACTGTAAATCTAATGGTTTATGCTTTTAATCCTATCATCTCTCAATACTGATATGAAAACCTGCCCACTGTCACATCGATTTTGGGAATTCAACAGTAATTATCTCATTTTAATATTATTTAATACTTAGTCCCAAAATATAACGACTTATATAAACATTTTGAGTATTTAATTAATCTGGCATATAATATTCGTTATAACTTAAACATGATATTGAAATAAGGCGTTCTCAAAAATAAAAAAAAAAACAAAATGTCCCAAAAATAAAAATAAAATGCAATGTTGTAGCCCCATGAGACACCGATGACCTAAAAACCAAAAATTCCAATAGCTCCAAAACCAGCTTTAACACAAAAAAAAACAAACAATTAAGTTAATAAAATAAAATCATAAATAAAAACGGGTTATGCCGCCCTACAGCCTTTATGCCGAGAGGTTAAAAAAAAAGAAATTAAAATTAAAATTAAAATTAAAAATAAAGCTAAAAAACCGACTGAAAAAAATTTTGTTACGCTGATTCAGAGTATATAATAAGAGAAAAGCACCTTGAATTACAAGATTGTTTGTATCATTGCATGTTTCATGAAATCCCATTTCTTGATAGTCAATTTCTTTCCATATTAAACCAAATTTTTGCCCGTGCTAGCGATAACATTAAGCTGTCTGTTATTTTCATATCCGCCCTTAGGAGGATATTCCTCAGGGTAGTTAGTTTCGAGCAAGGGTCATTTATTTATTTTCTAGGAGGTCTAGATGGGAATGGGATGAATTTTTTGTGCAGTATTAAGTCTTTTATGGTGTCCATATTTTTTATAAAATGGCTGGAGCATCTTTAATTACATGTGAACTAGTAGAGAGGAAATGAAAAAGTCCTATATCGCTCCTATTCATGCAAAGTTCATCCATTTCAAGTTGATTCTGAGCTACTATTAGAAAATATGCAGAGAAGGACAATTCCAAATCACTTGCCCAAGAAGTACGTGCTTTTTTCTGCAATATTTTAATCTGTTTTGCATTGATTTGCTTAACATTATACGCGATCTTCCGTTCTATTCATTTTTGATCCTATTTTCAGAAGAATTAAACAAACGTTGAACAAATATTTTGATAGAATCGTGCCTTTTGAGATGCTAGCCTGAGCAGTTAATTCATCAAAAGCGACGATCCTAACCTCACAGCATTTGAAACAGGGCATGTTCTCTTCCATATTTTTGGATAAGCCATTCGGCATATTTAGCAATATCATGCCAGTCTTTACACCTGACTATTAGTTTCATTGGATATTTAAAATGTCTTAATATCCCAGTTTTGATAGACGTTGAGAGTTTTTTTTTTTGTTTATATAAATTCATCGCAATGATATAAAGAAGAATTAAACAAACTTGAACAAAAATATCTTGGTCTTTCGAGGTGGCAGTCTGTTCATCAAGAAACGACGGTCTTAACCTCACAGCATGAAACAGGGCATGTTCTCTTCCATAGTTTTGGATAAGTCATTCAGCCTTTGGATCGCCATTTTTAGCAATATCATGCCAGTCTTTACACGAGTCTATTAGTTCTATTGGACATTTAAGATGTTTTACTATCCCAGTTTTGATAGATGTTGGAAGTTTTTTTTTTGTCTATGTAAATTCATCGCAATTATATAAAATTTTGATAGAAACATTATGATTACCGGTAATTTTTGAATTTTTCATTCTAAAAGAATTTTTTTTTTTATAATGAAATAAATCAAAGCTTTCAT